AATGTCAATAGATAGGGATGAGATGGGCAGAAACCAAAGGACGAAGGGCATGTGGTGACCATTGGTGGTGCAGGAGCAGCAGTGTCTCAGCTCTTAATGCAACAGCTGTGTTTCCATGGAGAGCATTAGCAGCACCTCATGCGTGTGCCAGTAAGCACAATGATGTTGCAGGTGCAGCACGTGCATGGGATGTCAGCTGCTGGGAATAGAAATAGGGGTGGTTGTGCACATGCTGCCAGTCTTCATGGTGTTTTGTGGCAGTTAGGAACATTGTTTTCCCTTGATCAGTGCAAATATTCTGTAGTTATCTCCACAGGAGATGAAGGGACTCATAAAGGCAAATGGCCTCTTCAGTTTCATGAGTACCAGGAGTAGGAATGAGATTGGGCACATCCACGTAGTTGCTTCAGGATCAAATAAGAAAGCAAATTTTCAGCAGTTTAGCCTTTAACGTCAGGTAGGGCAGGGAAGCGATTGTCCCCCTGTGCTCTGCCCTCACAAAGCCCCACTTGGAGCACTGTGTCCAGGCCTGAACTCCCCGGCACAAGAAGAACGTGGAGCTGTTGGAGTGGGTCCACAAAGATGCTCAGGGGGCTGAAGCACCTCTCCTATGTAGAAAGGCTGAGGGAGGTGGGCTTGTTCAGCCTGGAGAAGGGAAGGCTGCGGGGAGACCTTGTTGCAGCCTTCCAGTACTTGAGAGACCTTATTAGTAGGAGGGAGAGCACCTTTTTATATGGTCTAATAGCGATAGGACAAGGGAAAATGGTTTTAAGGAGGGGAGATGGAGGTTAGGTGTTAGGAGGTAATAGTTTACTCAGAGGCAGTGGGACGATGGAACAAATTTCCTGGAGAGCTGTGGGTGCCCCATCCCTGGAGGTGCCCAAGGGCAGGTTGGATGGGCCCTGGGCAGCCTGAGGTGGTGAGTGGGAGAAGTGCCCAAAGGTTGACTTCAAGAAGGAGGACTGGGGGAATTACAGGCCAAGAATACAGGCCAAGAAGATTGGTGTTGATCGCTGAGAAGACATGGAGCAACTTGCACTGGAAACCATATGGTGGACAAGAAGGTGCTCGGGAGCCGTCAGCATGGATTCAAAAAGAGGAATTGACCAACTCGATACACTTCTGTGGTGAAGTGATCGGCTTGGTAGGTGAGGACAGAGCAGTATATTGACCACCTGGACTTCAGTAAGGCTTTTGACCCTGTCTCCCATGAGATCCTTTTAGAGAAGCTGTTGCTGTATGGGCTGGATAGGCAGACAGTGAAGCGAACTGAAAGCCCAGAAAGCAGTGATCAGTGGCAAAAATCTAATTGGAGGCCAGCAACAGTGAACCCAGGGGATGAGACCGGGTCTGGTCTGCTCAGCACCTTCACTAACGGTGTGGGTGATGGGGCAGCGTGACAATGCTGGCAGGAGCGGTGCTGTGCTCCCAAACAGGGGAACTTGGGTAGGCTGTAGAAATGAAGTGCGACCAGTAGGAACTGCTGCCTCTGGGGAGGAGCAAGTGCCGGCACATGCTGCGGTCTGGCTGCTGGGTACAGAAAGACCGGGGGGTCCCGCTGGGATCCAAGCTGACCACGAGCCGGCACGGTGCCCCGGCTGCAAGGAACGCTAACGCTACGCCGGCCTTCTCCGCGCACAGCATCGGCAGCGGGCGGAGGAAGGTGACCTCGCCTCTCCCTCGCTGGGCCTCTACTGCACGAACTCTCCGCTGCCGGCCCCGAGCGCCGCTCCGCACAGAGCCGCCAGGCGCAGGCCCGGGCCCGGCTGCAGGCGGCGCCATCCCCGCCCCGCCCGGCGGCAGCGCGCAGGCGCATCGCGGGGCCGGACGCGGACGCGGACGCGGGCGCGGCGGCTGTGGTCCGGCCCCGTGCTCTCGGCCGGCCGCGGGGCCGGGCACGGAGCCGGAGCGGCGGGCGGAGGCGAGCGGGGAGGCTCGGAGGCGGAGCTGGGCCGCGGGGTGAGCGGAGCGGCCTGGAAGCATCGCGGCTGCTCCGTGGAGGGCAGGGGCGAGCGAGGGAAGCGTGTGCGGCGCGTTTTGACGCGAACCCGTGGGGGTAGGGAGCGTCTGTGTGCGCCGTGCGGGGAGAAGAGCAGAGCAGAGCCGAGCCGTTCGGCTCGTGGGGAGGCGTGCCGTGCTGCCACACGGGAGGGTAACTCGGTCCTTTGTTACGGGGAGACCGCAAGGACACCCAGCTGGGCGCTGCTGGATTGCTGCAACCTGCCAGGAAAGCACAACTGAAGGTATATACATATATATATATATATTTAATGTATTCTATTTATTTTCAAGAATGATGTGTGCGACCATCAGCTGTACAGGGTGTTGCTTCACCACTCTCATGCCTGTACATACATGTAAATGACCCAAGAGAGCCCGTTTCTGCATTCCCAGCACAACCTGCCTGGGCTCTGTGAGAACCCTCTGTTCTTATCAGGCTGATCCAGCTTCCTCTGCAGTGATGAAGTCAGCCTTTCACTTGGCTAACTGATTGCTGGCACTCGGTCTTAAATAGCGAATTGCTTTGTGCTCTTCTTTGCCTGGATGATAGTAAAGTGTTGCGACTTCTTAAAAGAAGTCCTCAGGACAATCAGGCAGCAGAGTTGGTGGATCTGCCTAGCAACTAAATGTTTTAAAGGCAAATTTATACCAGAGAAGAGGAAATAGTGACCGGAGAGGGAATACTGAGTGGCTTTTAGATAGTGATGAGCATGAGCTGAGAAACAGCTGATTATTTTCCTCAAGGACTGGTGACTCCTGTTGGTTCCAGTGCCACAGCGAGAGGTAGCATCTGCTTGAAGCCTTGAGCTCTGTGTGACCTTGCAGTCTGTGCTCAGACACTGAATAACAAGTGCAAGAGCAGAAGGGCAGAAGCAGTGACTTCTGCAGGGTCATGTTGTGGAGAGCTGGAAACAGAGCCCAGCTCTCCAGTTTTTATTTTCTGTCATGGAGTCGTACAATGGCTTGGGTTGGAAGGGATCTTAAAGATCATCTAGTTCCAACGCCCTGTCATGGGCAGGGTTGCCACCCCCTAGGTCAGACATTAGATCATGTTCTATCTTATGAGAGGGCCTGAACAAGACTGCTTTCCCTTGGGGGTTTTGAGAGGAGAGCTGCTTTCTGCATGTACCAGTAATTCTGGGGACAGGGCTAGTCCAAGAATAGGCTCATCGTCTTGAAGTGAGGTCATAAACCTCTGCAGGATGGGGGGTTTCCTTCAGAGCTTTATTCTGGGTTCGGAATCTCAAAATTTAAAACTTGCACCTTGGCTGCTTCTACTGGTGAGGAACCGAGGTGCTGGCTCACGGCTTCGCTACGCACAGCTCAGAGATGCTAACCTCCTCCCTTCTGTTCCCGCAGCGCCGTCCGGCAGCATGGTGAACGAGCGGCGCGAGGGCGGGCTGCTGGTGCACCTGGGCCCCCA